AAAAATGTGGCATCAGGATTGGAGGAAGACTCATTAACAACCTGCAATATACAGATGATACAACCTTGCTTGCTGAAAGTGAAGAGGACTTAAAACATTTACTGATGAAGATCAAAGAACACAGCCTTCGATATGGATTACATCTCAATGTAAAAGAAACAAAAATCCTCACTACTGGACCAATAAACAACATTCTTATCAATGGAGAAAAGATTGAAGTTGTCAAGGACTTCATTCTTCTTGGATCAACTATCAACACTTACGGAAGGAGCAGTCAAGAAATCAAATGACGTATTGCCAACAATTGTGAGCAAGGTGCAATTGAGCAACATTTCATTCTATTGTACATATGGTTCCTTGCAATGAGTCAGAACATACTCGAAGGTACTAACAAACACAACAATGCCTTATGCTGTTGAGCACTTTTCTATCACTCACTTGCCATCAATCTATCTCCTTCGGGGAAGCATCTGTGTGAATATTTCACCCCCCTTAATGATTGGATTCTTCATTATCTAAATATTAATTTCTGAAAGTTCATTTGGATACAAGTTCTCTGTCAGATATATGATTTGCAAATACTTTCTTATAGCCTGTAGTTTGTCTTTACATTTTGATGAGCAGCACAGTGAATCTATAGATTCATTTGGGGTAATTGAGTCATTCAGTTCTTGAGTATGGCATGTCTTTAAACTTAGCTAATTCGATTGTCTCTGGTTTCTTTCATTTGTGTTTAGTAGTTGCCAGCAAGCAGGCCCTGCACATTTTGTTAAATATATAAGAAATTTTCCAGATTAATTGTCAATGGTATTTTTAAAATTAATGTCCTCATATTTATTTCTGATACATAGAAATGTGAGCAATTATCTTCTGTAAGGTTACCTTGTATCTTGTGACTTTGCTAAACTAACTATATCTAGAAAGTTTTTGGTAGAGATTCTATGTGATTTTCTTGACTTCCAGTATGGCACTGTAGGATAAGTATAGGACTGCAAGGTTGGTTTGAATCACAAGGTCGGCAGTACAAACTTCCCAGTTGCTCCTCGGAAACCCTATACTGGGTTGTTATGAGTTGGAACGGACTCGAAAGCACTTAACAGCAACAACAAATGTGATCTTCTATTAGACAATCACGTTATCTGTGAACAGGGACAATTTTACTGCTTCTTTCCAGTCTGTATCTATTTCTTTCTTTTTTTCCTTGCCTTAATGCACTAACTACGACTTCCAGCATAAGACTTCCAGCAAAGTATCCACTGTTTCTCTATCAAGTATGGCATCCTTGTTGTTGCTGTTATTTAAATGCCATTGAATTGGTTCCAACTCATAGCAACCCTATATAGGGTTTCTGAGAAACAGCTGGTGAGCTTGAACCACTGACCTTGTGGTTCAAACCAAACTTGCAGTCCAGTATCTTAACCCACAGAGTCACACCAGGACTCCAAGTATGGCATTAACCATGGTTTCTTAAAGATACTCTTTATGAGGTTAGCCTTGTTTGTCACAGGTTTGGTGTTAGTTTAACATGAGTACATGTTGAATTTTGTCAGATGTTTTTCTGCATCAGTTAATACGATCATTTGACACTTCAGTGTATTAATAAAATGGATTAGTTGGGCTCATTTTTTGAAATATTGAACCAGTCTTACATTCCTGGTATAAACCCCATAACCCCACTTGGTTTTGTTGTATTATTTCTTCTATATATATGTATTGTTGGATTTGACTTGATAATTTTTTGCTGAGGAGTTTTGCTTCTGTGCTCTTGAAGGATTCTGGTATGTAGTTTTCTTTTCTTGTCCCGTCTTTGCCTATTTTTCAGGTTAATGTTGTTTTTATAAAATAAATTGGGACGTCTTTCCTCTTTCCTTCTCTGCTTTTTTTTAACCAAAGGAGCTCTGGTAGCATAGTGGTTATGAATTGGGCTGTGAACTTCAAGGTCAGCAGTTCAAAACTACCAGCTGCTCCATGGGAGAAAGATGAGGCTTTCTGCTCCCATAAAGAGTTACAGCCTCGGAAACCCTGTTCAGGGTTGCTATGGGTCAGAACCGACTCGACAGCACTTAACAACAACAACAACTACTTTACCAAGCATGACGTCCTTACCAAGCATATTGAGAGACTGGTCCCTCCTGGTAACATATCCAAAGTATCTAAGGAGCAATCTGGTGTACTTCTTCAAAGACAGATTTGTTTGTTCTTCTGACCGTCCATGATATATTCAATATTCTTCACCAACCCCACAATTCAAATGCAACAATTCTTCTTTGGTCTTCTTTGTTCATTGCCCAGCTTTTGGATGCATTTGATGTGATAAAAAAAAATACCATGGTTTGGGTTAAGTGCTCCTTGGCCCTCAAAGTAACATCTTTGCTCTTTAACACTTAAAAAAAAATTTTTTTTTAAATACATTTTACTTCATGTTTATATGTTACGTGTCTCACTTTAATTTAATTACGCAAATTTTGTTTGTTTTCATCATGGGGAATGTTCAAAAGAAGTTGGAAGCCATTTTTCTGTAGCACTTTGTCTGTGCCTATCTGTTGCTGAGTTCTTTATGACTGATTATTCATGTCTCATCTTCCTTACCAGCATGGGCGTGTCTCAACTACCAACCTTTCAGCTAGTAGTGAAAAGGTCCACCACCCAGGAACTCTTTGCTTTCTTATTTAGTGAAAGTATCCAAGTCAATTGTAACTGGCTAAAGTGACAATCATTAAAGAATGATTTGGAATGCTTAATTCTGGTTTCAAGTGACTAACTTCATCAATTCTTTGTTGACTGTTGGGAGCAAATTTCTTCTCAGATTCTCTATATATTTATTGAAAATGTCTCTTAATAACTGTCAACTCTATCATTTCAAAACAATTTTTTTTACACAACAGATATTTTGCTCTGTGGAAACAAATTTAAATTGCTATTCATAATGAAATTTGTAACAAGCCTTTTTTTTTTCCAGTCTCCCTTTAGCTTTGCTTCCAGTGTGGTACTAGTTTTGGCATCTGTTCTCAATTCTACATCAGTAAGTGCCTTCATTTTAAATATAAAAATGTATCCATGTTTTACTTAAACTAGAAAAGTAATTTATGTTATAATTACTATTTCAATATAATTATCAATTATAATTAAGAGAGTTATTATTATAATGTAAGTCATCTACATTAGACATTCAATTAAACACGTTGTGATTTCTGTATATGTTCATGCATAGAACTGTAATCACTCAAATTGAATTTATCTATTACACTAACCAGATCAATAATACATTTATGTGAAAACCCATAACCAGTGTACACATCAAAAACCCACAACCACAATACATTCTTACACAGTACAATAATTTAAGTGGCACATTTTTTTCTAGACAAACAATAAAATTATATTTTTCAGATATCATTTTATACTCCTCAGTTTTAAAACAACTGAAAATTAAAGATTCATTTCATCATTCATATTAGCCACATTTCAAGTGCTCAAGGATCCCATGTGTCTACCAAAAATAATAGTAATAATCCCATGGTCATTAAGGAGATTCTGATTTATAGTGACTATAAATCTTCATAGAAGCAGACAGCTTCATCTTTCTTCCACATAGCAGCTGGTGGTTTTAAACAACTGACTTTGTGGTTAGCAGCCCAGTGCCTAACCCACAGTGCCACCGGGTCTCCTGTATAGTAATTACCATATTAGACAATTCCTATATTCCTGTATTGGACAAAATTTCAAAGAACACTCATAATCTTGCAAAGGTTTTTAGTTCAGACTTAGTAATTCAAATGAAAGTTTTGATATTTTCATTTCAATCATAGGGTCTATGTTTTAGTACTTCTCCAGTTCAAGCCCCTGGCATTTAGTAAAGTCCTGAAGAAGGACAATTGGCATCTAGAGACAGTTGTTAAGATTGACTACAGCAATGTGTCTAAAATGTTAGTGTTCCCTGGAATAGAAACTCATACCTGAAAAGCATTGTACTAAAAGTTAAATCTAACTTTACAAATGATTGTTGTTGTTGTTGTTAAATGCTGTCAACTCGATTCTGACCCATAGCAACCCTGTATAGGGTTTCCAAGGAGCAGCTGGTGAATTTGAACCACTGACCTTGCAGTTCTAACGACTTTGCAGTCTGATGCATGAGCCCATTGCAGCATAATTTTTATTAGCTATTAAAGTGATTGTAAAAAGAACGGTAAGTTTGGGTACTTGAATTTATGAAATCTTGTGGCAACACCCACTGTTAGGAAAGTCATTTGTTTGACCATTACAATGAAAACACAGAGTTTAAACATGCTCTGGTAGCACAGTGGTTACGAAACAGGCTGCTAATCTCACGGTCAATAGTTCGAAACTACCAGCTCTTCCATGGGAGAAAGATGAGGCTTTCTGTTCCTATTGCTATGGAGTCAATTCGGACTCATAGTGACCCCATGGGACAGGGTAGAACTGCCCCATAGGGTTTACAAGGCTGAAAATCTTTACAGAAGCAGATTGCTACATCTTTTCCTGTGGTGCAGCTGATAGGGTCAAATTGCCAACCTTCTGGTGTGCAGCTGAGTGTTTAAGCACTATGCCACCAGAGCTCCTCTGAGCTAGCAGAAACCTTACCATCAAGCCAATTCTAGCTCATATGTCAGGGATCAATGATTAAATCCAATGAGTCATTAAATACAATGAGTTCCTTCATCTCTCTGAGTTTCAGATTCCCTGTCTGCAAAATGTCTAAATGATACCTAACCCACAGAGTCGTTGGGAGGATTGATGTACTGATTTAGTTAAAGGCCCTCAGTTTGATTCCTAGCATATGCTTCATGATTACTAGTTGCCTTCTTCTTTCCTGGGGATCCTAGCAGAGCGAATCTGATCTAACTCTGGCTGTCGAGATTGGTCTTTATTCACATTCTCTTACTAATAACGTTCATTTCTCCTTTCATGTTGCATTCACAGCCAAGTCACTCATTCCAGCATGCATTAACTTATGTGTAAGATTGATGAACAAGCCATACTTGTCTGATGGATGGGCTTCCACAAAATACCCAGCAAAGGGACAATAAATCCGGGGCTGCAGGTCCTTCACCAGCTGGGCCTTGTAGTTGAGGAGCTTCTTCCTTTCGGTTTTGATGAACTGGGCTTTCCATTCCTCTGAAATGACAAGATTCACATTAGAGTTTCCTCTGTTCAGAAATAACAGGGAAACAAAAGTTCCACCAGGAGAGAAAATGGACAGGCAGCTGCAACAGAAATAGAGCAAAGCTCCATGGATCACTAGTGGAAGGAGGGGTTTCCCTTTTTTCAGTTTCCTCAGTCTGTTTCCATAAAGATCTACAGCCTTGGACCCTCTGTGGCAGTTCTACTTTGTTCTGTGGTGTCAGAGTTGACTTGCCACCACCAGTGGGGGAATATTTTGTGGGGGAAAATAATCCCACAAAAAAACTAATATTTTGGTTGGAAATAAACCAACAGTATCCTAGTTCATTAGTAGAATAATGTTTCAGACCAGCCAAAGGCACTGAGACCCCTCCTTGTCTATAACAATTCATTAGGACCCTAATGAACAGGGTGGCATGCATAGTTGTACATTGCATACATAAACATTTTAAAGGCACTGTAATCCTTAAAATTATTATCTTTTTACTAACATGGAAATGACTTCATCAACTTAATGGATTTTAAAAGCAAAGCATATTCATCAGAACTTGGCAATGCATGGTGGTTAAGAGCATGGGTGTTACAGCCAAATTGAGGATAAAAATCTAGCTCCACCACCTATTGGTGGTGAAGTCATGGGCAAATTACCTACATGCATTCTTTTAAGCATGTTTCTTCTTCTGTAACTTGGAATAATGCTGCCTACCTCACACATTGCTAGTCTGTTCATTTGCTTATTCATTCATGCAACAATATTTACTGAACACCTACTATGTTTCAGACATGATTCTAGGCTCTGAGAATCCAGTGATAAGTAAGACAAAGCAGAGCCCTGCTTTCTTGGAGCATTCAATCTAGTGAGAGAATCAAATAATTAACAAGTAAGTCAATAAGGTCATTTCAAAGAGATGTGATGCCAAAAAAATTAAACAGAGATATGACTGGAGAGTGGCTGAGTGAGGTGCAATGGGGCAGCCAGTGAAGAGATGATATTTACTTTGAGAGACCCAGATGAAGAGACACAGATGCTGGCTGTGTGTAGATCAGGAGAAAGATCACTCAAGACAGTGGAAACAGCCAACACAAAGACCTGGACAGGAGTGCATTTGGAGGGTTGGGTCTGAGAAACAAAAAATCAGGCCAGGTGGGCTGCTGTACAGCAAGGGGAAGACTGATAGTAAAGAAGGCTAGAGAAGAAGGCAGGACCCAATACATGTAGAGCAATGTCATCTGGGAAAGCCTGGTAAACACAGAAAAATGTAAGTGAACCATAACTCCGACATAACCACTACTAATGTTTTGGCATATTCCAGATCTCTTTAAAAAGCTTGTGGTAACAAAAAAAAAAAAAAAAAAAAAGGGGGAGTGATTAATCTTACAGTCCAGAAACAGAGGACCCTAGGACCATCAAGAGAGGAACACACAAATAGAATGTGGGACCTTATCCAGGGAAGCAGCAGCACCAGAGATGGAGGTAGAGATGGGGGCATGGAGGACTCTAGATTCATCAACTAAGAAGAGAAGGACTAAGAGCTGGTAGCCAGAAGCAGACTTACAGAATGTGCCCTTTGGAGATGTAATTTATTATATATGCCTGAGTGGGTTTTTTTGTTTGTGTGTTTTTTTTTTCAAAAAAAGCTAAAGTGGATAAAGAGAAATACTTTTAACTGATGGTATATGGAGGGGATTATAATCAATGTAATGAAACAAGTTATATGAATTGTTGAATGTGAAACTGATGATGTGCCCTGGAAACTTTCACTCAATCCACAATAAAAACCTTAAATTAAAAAAAAAAAAAAAAGCTTGTGCATGTGTGCATGGCTGTGCACACCCACAAATGAACGAAAGTTGCTGATTGTTAGGGTACGAAGATTCCACCCCACTTCTGGTGTTTTGGTGTTTCCTTCCAAGTGACAGGAAGTCCACTGAGCTGACACTTCTGGCTTCATTCCTCTTTCTTCATTCTGTACACAGAGACCTAGAATGACTGCTCTGACTGGTCACTTTGGAGAGAATTCTGGAATGCTCAGCTCTGCTCTATATTATTTCTTTTAAGAATTAGCCTATCCTCTCTTGTGATACAATTGTGAATAATTGTTATAAGGACTGCTTGTAAGGGTTGGAAATGTAAAGGTAGACATTTTGTAGCAAGGAGGGGAGTGATTAACTGCAGTGTAGAAGCGGAGGTCCCTGGGACCATCAAGGGAGAAAAGCGGTGTTGCGGGACCCTACCCAGAGAAGCAGTGACGTCAGAGATGGAGGCAGATACGATAACGCAGAGAGATGGAGCAGCTGGGGACTTTAGACCCAGAGAGGGAGAGGGGCTGTGTGCTGACAACAGGGGCAGGCTTGCAGGGTATACCCTTTGGTTGATTGATTATGCATGAAGGGGATTGTAATCATGGCAATGAAACAATATACAATAAGATGAATGTAAAACTAATGTTCTCCCATGTAAACTATCACAATAAATCATTTACAAAACAAACAATTAGCTTATCCACAGCAAGCAAGAATTTTCTGTCTTTCTATATGTTGTAAGTTTTACAGAGATTCACTGCTGCAAGGTGAAGCCCACCCCAGATCAGTACTCCCTGAGACTGAACCAATCATTTGGTCTAATTCTAGGATCTAGGATTAGCAGACCCATCTGGCCAACAGATGTAAAGCACATCCTCCAGTCTTCTGTGAATCAGTGGTAGTGGTGATATTTTGGATCCATTTTTATTCTTGATTTTATTTCTTAAATTGTTTATCTCAGATGGGCCTCCTTGCTGAATACAGCACATTATAAGAGGGACTTAAAATTTTTTTCAGAAAAAATGGAATTAAAAGATAATACCTATAGTATCATGTTTCTCCTGTCTCTTTATGACCAGTAAGTCCTCAGCCACCCGTCAGGTCTGAAACGGAATTCACCCTCATGCCCCAATTTTCAACCAAGTGGTAGACAGATATACAGGGAGACAACAATGCTAGTTAGGAATGGTCAAAACAAAAGAGCAACATTTACCTAAGGACAAAGTTTAGATGGGTTGAAAAGAGGGTAGAATGGAAATAAGAACCTCCTGTTGTTACAAGGAGGGATTGCAATCATTGAGATGAAACAAAGTGTATAAGATTTGGTGAATGTAAAACTGATGCTCTTCTCTGTAAACCTTTACTCAATTCACAATAAAAAGTTTTTTTTTTTTTTTCAAAAAAAGATCATGGACTTGCAGTCCAGATGCAGAGGAATCAAGGGAGAAAAGTGGAGTACGGGACCCTATCCAAAGAAGCAGTGACAGTGATGCAGATGTGGCAGAGAGGATGATATGGAGAGATGGAGTGTCTGGGGACGCTGGACTCAGGGAGGGAGAGGGGCTGTGTGCTAGTGGCTAGAGGGCAGGCTTGTGGGGTATAACCTTTGGTTGTTTTAACGGTTATATATTCCTGAGTGCTTCAGTGTACCAAAAAAACAAAACAGGGAATGGAAGCAAATGCTGTTGAATAATGATGCATGGAAGGGATTGTAATCATTGCAATGAGACAAAATACAATAGGATGAATGTAAAGCTGATGTTCTCCCATGAAAACTATCACTTAATTCACAATAAAAGTGTAAAAAAAAGAATATGCTCAGGATTTTCTGAGATGTTCAGATTATTCTAAACTTCATATTTACTCTGCAATAAATAGTAGAATTCATATTATTAATTTTGTTAAAATATTAAACTTCTTTTTTCATGGTTAAAAAAAAATCATGGCATTTTTTCAGGAACTTTTTGAAGTCCCTTTTAATAAAACTGAGGCTTAGGCAAAAGTGTAGAATATTTAATGAAACTGAGGCTTAGGCAGGGGTGTACAATTTGAGAATGTCTCCCGTGTTAGATAGCAGGAAAACAGGGGGAAAGACAGACAAGAGGGTGACTGTGTTTTAGGAAAAGGGTCAGGCAGGTCTGTGTCAGGAGAAGTCTATAACTTGTACTGAAGGAAACTTCTTTTATTTTAATATGAGGATTCTGCTTTTGGGGTCATTGAAGTTGATTGTAAGATGTTAAGAATTCTTTCCTTTAACCATATCTTGAGTTTACCAAGAACATTTAAGCCGGGATTACCAATCACACACCTTTCCTATGCTGCTTCATTAGAGACGCCATAAACCCAAATGATTCTTTTTCTTGACTTATCTGTCTCTGTATTTATTTCATGTTTTATTTTCATATTATTATTTTTTTAAGTTCTTATTGTGAATGGAGTGAAAGTTTACAGGGCAAATCAGCACTTTTACACTCAATAAATCATATACTTTGATTGGATTACAATCCCCTCCATGTACCATCAGTTAACAGTATTTCTCTCTATTAATTTTAGTTCTTTTTTAAAAAGCAAACAAACACTAAGGCATATGTAATAATTTACCACCAAAGGGCACATTCTGCAAGTCTGCCTCCTGGCTGCCAGGTCTCAGTCCCTCTCTTTCCATGAGTCTAGAGTCCTCAGCTGCTCCCTCTCTCCATGTCCTCATCTCTGCCTTCATCTCTGGTGTCACTGCTTCTCTGGATAAGATCCTGCATTCCGCTTGTGCTCTTCTCCATTAATGGTCATAGGGTCCTCTGTTTCTGGATTGTAAGATTAACTACTCCCCTGATTTTGTTACAAAACTTCTACCTTTATAATTGTGACAAGTAGCAATTAATCATGATATAACAATTACTCACTACTGAATCATAAGAATCTTATCCCCATCTCTTTTCACCAGACCCATATAGACAGGATGAAAACTATTCAGTGGAAACTCTATCTTCCTCCACTTTATGCCTTTTCACCCCTCATTTTAGGTAGACATTGTCTAAGTTGCCCGTTCCTATCTACCCTCTATACAGAGGAGATAGGATTTATATTTGATATGAAGACTCCTTCCCTCTCTGTTGGTATTTTGAGCTACTATATCCATGAATATATATACCAAGTTCATCAAATTGTAGCAATTTACCCTCGTTTCTTTAAAA